CCGGCAATGTGCAATATGATCCTTACGAGCAGCGTGTTGCATTCGTCCTCTTTGTTCCACCACGCGGATGCTTGCTTCCAACTGAGGGCAACAAACAAGTGGCAAACAGTTGGCATTGGAGCACGCTTTCAACATATACCAATCGTTCCGTCGCAGTGACCTTAATTGACGATTTCACTTTCAACAGGCCTTGTCATCACGCTCCTGCCAACGACGGGCTGCCTCTTCTGCAAGTTTCCGCAGCGCGTCTTTGTCCACCTGTGCCACAATGACATAAAGAAGTCAAGCATGGCAAGCCTCCATTCAAGGCCAAAACGGTGCTTGAATATCCATTCCAGCTGTCTTTCATTGCCCAACTGCGTTCACGGCGAACCTCTTTCTTCTTTTTCTTTCCTTTAGTTGAAGAAGATGCTTCCTCCGCGGAGCTGGTCGTTGCCTTCTTCTTCTTGGATCTCTTTTTGGCCTGGCTTCCCAATTCCAAAATGCATGTATATTAATGCGTTGTGCTTTAGATATGGTCACATATGTAACAAACTCTGCCATGAAGAAACAAGCCTTCAAAGGCTGCAATTCCAAGTCTGACTCAACCTCTGGCTGAATTTGTTCATGATCATCGTGATCATCAAGCTCAACAGTGATGGCTGTGGATTCCTAGCGAACGAAAGTGGAGTAGCGAAGCTCAGCAGTCGAGTTGAAGATCAGGCAGCTCAGGCCGGGTCGGCCCAACTCTGTGAACAATTTAATTTGGAACTAGTGCTCCCAATGACAGTATATTACATAATAATTACAAAATCAACCATGGTTTCGCGTGTCATTCTCTCATTGGTGAAAACCGCATGTGGCAACTCATACAATGCATACACCATTCGGTGAGCTTGCTCGTGTACGTTCAGTCTCATATCAGCTGCTGCAGTCCTTTTGTCCCACTGCCCCAGTCAAATCAATGCTGATACCAGCTGCATCTGCTGCCTGCGTGACAAGGCATTTTGAGTTCCCACAACCCTTTTCAAAGACATTCACATCTTCAAAAGGTGACTCAAGACGTCCGAGAGCACCTCGGCTTCTTTGGCTCGAGGATGTGCGCCTGAACCAAGCAATTTGTTGAGACCCTGCCTTGAATAATTTGTTCAAGAATGTTCAAGACATGTTTTCTTGTATCTTTCAAACAATGATCTTGTTTGCAGTCGCGGCTGAGACTGAACCCTTTTCAAAAAGTAGACTTTTGGTGGAAGCCATAGCAGGTTTAGTAGTAGCGATAGCATGCTATAGAATCTTGCTGCAAAGGAGCAGCGGTAGCAACAGTGAGAAGTGCCTACATTCCGATTCCAGACCTGACTCCAAGAATAGGAGCAAGTTATGTTTCCATTTTGTGTTCTATCGTTTTCTTTTGTAGTGATAGACATAGGCTTCGAGCTTATTTGGACAAAAACATGAAAACATGAAACGCTCAAAACAGCCGACTTGACACATAGAACATTGCGAAAACGCACCCTTCGAACAACAAACCTTTCGACTCACAAGATTTGTTGGCGAATTTAACCGTTGCAAAGTAAGTTGATAGACTTTGTCTCTAAAACGTATGGAATGGCATGCGGTTGGTCTGCTGTTTGTAATTCCTTGCAACCTTGGGGTGGCTACCCCGCTTTGAGAAAAGCATGCTTATGTGATCTGCAGCACTCGGCTGCCAGCTGCAGGGTGCAAACGTAGACGGGTGTCGCAATGGCTTGCCTACCGCCTTTACCGCCAGCGGCAGTTCCTCCCCTAGAGACTTTTCTGGCCGGTGTGACGGAATCCCATTGCTGTATGGGAGACTTTGCTGCACAAGCACCGTGAGTACTTGACACTATAAGGATAAATGGACATTAGTCCTCCCACCTGTTTACATATTCTATCATATCTAGGCAATTGTGGTGCTCCAATGATCTATATAAAACTAAAACAATTTGACCATGCTTGCTCACTTGGTTGAGTTTGAGACGTTTGGACTGTTCTTTCTTCTCATTAGTCTGATTGAAACTTTCTTGGCTTGAGAGAATGAACTGGGTCAGCATTGAATACTTATATTCATTGACGAGCTTCGGGTCTCATAATGGTCATAATGAGATCCGAAGCTCGTCACACCTGCATGGAGTCTCCAAATGAATTTTGAAATCTTCGAACAGCTTGGAGCTGATCTTTTGGCTCCAAAGGCTATTGCTTCCCATGCGAATGACGACTCTGTTCATCTCTTTTCGATGTTCTACAGCATGTGCAGCATGCGCCTGCTTCTGGAATGTTCCAGCTGATTTCGGGAAAACTCACCTGAGCTGCGAAGTACACAAGTGATGTTTGCCTTTACCTGTCTTCACTCCGTTTGACTCGCGTCTTCATGCTTTGATCTAGGTCAAAACAGCGCATTGGCTATCCAACATAAGGGCCGTCTGTGATTGGCAACTCAGGATGTTCAGAGTTCAGCTTGTTTAAACAATGCTCAAATATGTCAGACTTGTGTTGCATACTCCTGCCTCATCATAGGTCTCAATCATGGCTGCACATCACGTGCCCCCACATCCCACAAGATTGAGGACAACATGGCAAATGACTCCGCATTGTGTGACAGCCGAATGCGGTCAGCTCCACTGGAGTTTCCGATGCTCTTGACCCGTGGTTCTGATATTTAGCGTGAACACAAAAAAGAACTGTGAATCCCACTCTCCCACTTTTCAACATGGACACTTGACTGGCCATTTATGCGGACATCTATATACGAATATTGCATAAATTGTGGATTTAACTCCAATATGTTTGGCTTTCTCACTCTTTCATTTTCCAGGTAAGCTAGAGCCTTTCAGCTGCGAACACATTGAAATTCAAGCAAAAGTACACATAGAATGACCACCACTCATTCGATCATGTATGTTCCACGTTGTGACAAAGAGATACAAAGAGAACCATTCAGGACCCTTTAGTCATGCTGTGTTTGTTTGCACTGAAACTCCTTGTTTGACAGAGCTGCAAAGCTGTAGGTCACCTCAATTCTCCAAGAAATCATGCTTTCTACTTGCCACTTCGTGCAAACATGACGTGCTTGCCATGTTCTCTATAGATGTTCAAACATGTCAGTGACAGTGTCAGTGTTATTAAAAGCTTTGCCAAGGCTAAGACGGATGAACAAAGCAAGAACAGCAACGCCACAATCACAAAATGCGACGCCCAACGCCCCTGCATGTTCACAGTGGCTCAAGTCATTGAAACACGGCATGATTTGCATTGGTTTACCAGTGAGCCAGCAAGATCCAGCGAGTTGTATCACCGCACCTGGACCTGTGAAAACCTGCTGCGTATGGTAGGAACAATGAAACAGCTTGACACAAAGCAACAACCCAATCGGATCCGCACCTTCCATCTACGAGCATGGGAAATTGAATGGTGCGGCATTACAATGATCCTATCTTTACCCTGGATTGAAATTTGCCTGAAAATGATGTAACGTGTTCAGACTTTGAATTCCCACCGTGAACTGGTTCAGGTCGTAAGGAGTGGAGTTCCCCATTTTGACAGGACACTTAAAAAGTATCTTCAAACTTGTTCAAACATGTCTGTACATGTAATTGAGTTTTCGATGTACAGTAACTATCCTTTTCATGTGAGTCTGATAAGTGTCCTTCTTCCATGAATATAGCCTCAAAGCCAGCAAGTGCAGGTCTATACGAAACTGCAATGCGCAGCAAAACAACCATGTCACTGCAAACAGGTCAGCGAGAAAGTTCATCATCTCTCGAAGTTTCGCCTCTATGACTTATAGGCCATATGACTACTATGTCTTCCACTGCGTATATAGATTCGAGGAGACAAACCATGTTATATTCCGGCAAAAACAAGTGCAGGCTGAGAGCTCTCTGACAGATTAATCCGAACGCAGCTGTTGAAAGCAAACCTCATGCTGGAGCTGGTTTTCGATGGCGACAGTTTCCAATGAGATGAGATGAGAGATGATGAGACTCTTTTGCAACCAAACCCACACATTTGCACCAAACACAATTTTGCCTCACAATCCTGGTTGCGCATCCTTTTTGCCTCTAGAGCTTGGCACCCTCATTTGCAAGTTCTTCGATTCCTACTGCCTCGCAGTACTCCAGCCTTGGTCGGTCTGCTGAAGACATTTCATCGAAAGAAAAGAAACAACAGCAGCAAGGCAATCCTTGGCAGGCGAACCTGTGCATCCAAAGATGAGATCCTAATCAAAGGAGGATCTTGTGGATATCTCTCCATGACCACATCTCTCAAGACTGAAGAAAAAAAAGATCTTCAAGGGTAGCACAGATTAACTATTGGACTCAAATTGGCATAGGCATGTCAATGTGACATACATATGAATCATCATATTCTGCCAAAGGGCAATTCCTGCGTCTGTGGCGGCATGGACATCTTCTCCGGTTTGGTGACTGGCTCTTGATGCCACTTCCGCATCCGCGCCTTGGTCAGAAAGTTGCCCACTCCCTACACCCCAAGTCACCTACGACTTACACGTCACATCCATCCTCTGAAAGGAAACACCTTTTTCTGCTTGCAAGCAGTGCTCTGTGGCCACCTGCAATTAGACAGCATTTTCACTGCTTTGTTGGTGAATCCAGCTATATACCCATACCAGGAACACTGATCTTGCCCCCAATGATGAAGTGTTTGACGACTTTGGCTAAGTTATACAATGGGTGCATTTGCAAGCACAAACCAACCCAAACTCTTCCGGCTACACTGTGTGCTAGGAGTCCTGCTGCCAGGGAGGCCTGGATGTTGTTCAAACGCCAACCAGGCCTGGGAACATTCAGGTGCAAAGACCGCCAAAATCGATCAAACTCTATGACTCAAATACTCCATGCCGATGACACACTTGTCCCCCTCTTTGATCAAGCAAGTATGCTTAAATTCTGTTGAATTTCATGAAGGCAATGCATGTGTAGAAAAGCCAATGAAAAAAACAACAGCAGGGACACTAAGCGGTGCAAATTTGACCATTATCTGTGAAATTTCAAGAAGCCTGAAACTTGGGGTGAACATTGCCAAGTTATGCCTTTACACAATTTTAGTCTGACAGCACATGACAGCACTTTTGCAACATGCAGGCACGTGCAACACAATAATTAAGGTCAGCGTTAATAATGACACATAATACCTCTGCAGCATGATCTTTTCTCCACAATCTCTTGAAGTGCGAGTGCTTTCTTTGGCTCAATGACTGAAGAGGATGAAGAGGGATGGTCGGCGTGCTCGGCGCCGTCGCTGTCCGAATCAGAGCTCAAGTTGATGCATAGAGCTGTCGGAGCCTCGGTTCTGCTTCCAAGCGATCGGTTCTGACATATTGGACATGGCGCCTAGTGTTTGTGTGGTCAGGTTTCCAGAACGGGTTGGATAGGCCGTGGGTGAGTGTTTTGATTTTGATGTGGATGCGGATATCGTTTCACAAGAAAGAACATGAATGCCCAACCCTGGTAATCTCCCTAGTGTGCTGTCCCCCTCTAGATGGAGAGAAAAATGGCTTGTCTTAGCTGCCACGTGACACGCAGTCTCTGAAAGCGCTCTTCAGGAACCGCTTGCAGTCCTGCTAGTATATATTATTATATAAATAGGTATATTGAAAAAGAGCTGATGTATAGAAGGTTGCTAGTTGGCACTCAATCTCATTTATCATTTATCTTTCAGAGCCCGAGGCATGTCCCCCGCCTGGTCGGTTGGTACCACAGGTGCACAACAATGCTCCCGCGTCGTTCAGGAGGCGACACTTTGTGCACGACCACCTCAAGCAAATAGACAGAGCAAAAAGGATAGGTCCCTGAATCAATTTTGGAATATGTTGGAAGTGTTATATTTTTTTTGGTGCTGGTATGGCTGGAAATTGGCGTGCAGCGTTTTGTGAACCTCGGAGTGCACTTTGGGAAGCACGGAGCGCTGATCTTAACATCTACTGTAGGTCTTATGTCAAATGGCAAAAACCTACTTGAGGCCAGAGGGGGTGAACGAAAGCTAGCCGGGCTTCCGGTGGTCTGCTGCTGGTGCTGCTGCTGCTGGTGCTGCTGCTGCCGCTGCTGCGCTGGGCGCTGCTGCGCTGGGTGCTCTGCAGGCGCCGGGTCGTCTGCTGCTGCTGCTGCTGGCGCTGGGTGGTCTGCTGCGGCTGCTGCTGCCGCGGCGTTGGGTATGGGTATGCTGCTGCTGCTGCTGCTGCCGCCGCTGAGTGGTCTGCTGCTGCTGCTGGTGCTGCTGCTGCTGCTGCTGCCGCTGCTGCGCTGG